TAATTTGTTCTTATTTTTTTTAAAGATTTACTTATTTGAGAGAGGAAGAGAGAGAGAAAGTGAGTACACACACACACACACACACACACACACACACACACAGAGAAAGAGAGAGAGAGACACAGGTTTCCAAGGACCAGGCAGCCCGACACAGGGCTCGATGCCAGGACCCTGAGATCATGACCTGAGCCGAAGGCAGAGGCTTAACGACTGAGCCACCCAGGCTCGTCTTTAATGCCATCGTAAAAAATATGTATTTATATGAAAGAGAGAGCGAGAACATGAATGATGGGATTGGCAGAGGAGGGAGAGAACCTCAAGCAGACTCCGTGCTGAGCAGGGAGCCTGACGTGAGGCTCGATATCACAACCTGAGCCGAAACCGAGAGTTGGATGTTTTGAGCCAACCAGGCACCCCATATTTAATGCAATTTTGATCAAGATCCCAAGAGGACTTTTCTTTTTATTAAAGATTTTTATTTATTTATCTCTCCTCTCTGAGAGGGGAGAAGGTCAGAGGGAGAAGCAGGATCCCCATGTAGCTGGGAGCCCGATGTGGGGACTCAATCCCCAGGCGGCCGCTTAACTGACTGAGCCATCCAGGTGCCCCCAAGAGATAGAGACAAGCTATTTATAAAATTGGTTTGGCAGGTGGGGCACCTGGGTGGCTCAGGTCATGATCCCAGGGTCCTGGGATTGAGCCCCACATTTGGCTCCACTCAGCAGGAAATCTGCTTCTCTCTCTGCTGCTCCCCTTGCTCATACCTGCTCTCTCTCTCAAATAAGTAAATAAAATCTTTTAGAAATAAGCTGGTATGGCAGACAAAGTAACTAGAGTAGCGAGGACAACTGAATAAGAATAAACTCAGTGTCACGGCACCATCGTTCTGAGACTCACCGTAAAGCCACAGTGGTCAAGACTGGTGTCGGAGAACCAGACACACAGACCGATGGGGAGCATACCACCTGTGTACAGACCCGGCTGAACGTGTAACGCCTGCCACGGGTCCAACACCACAAACACCAGCCCTAATTCCTGCCCGATTTGCCAGGGAACCTTGGCTCGAGGCAAAGCAAGATATGCCTCTGCCCCCAAAAGGAAAAAGACAAAGCATTTTTTTTCCAGGGAGAGAGAAAAGTCAAGCAGCAATATGAAGGTTGAAAGACATACACTTCCGTCACACGCTGGCTTATGTTCCCGACTCACCGCAGACCCTGGACCACACAGTCAATCTGATTTCACTCGCCGATGTTCATGAATTTTAGAGACAGGAGAGCGGTGATGCCACGAGGGAAGACGAGTCATCTGAGGGGAGCACGACCAGAAAAATGAGCGAGGGAATCCTGCACAACACATACATCCTCTCAGACTACCTGTCGCCTGGACCAGCAGGTCACAAGCAGAGCCAGAGCCCCGCAGGGGTTCCGACGGACTCAGCATTGACACCCACCTCTGCTGGGAAGAGAGCGGGGCTGGGCAGGTGTGCAGCTCTGGGCACCCCAGCTGTTCCCAAGGACACGTGGGTGCAGGCCGGAGGGGGCAGAGGGCCAGACCCGGGTGCCCGGCAGACAACACACGCAGCTGCTGTTTTCACAGGGGCCTCCGGTCTTCGGGCATCGCACCTCTGCACGAGCTCCCCCCCGCAATCATACTCTGACCGGGGGCAGTGCTAGAGAAGCCCCAGGCCTGGAGGAAGCCTTCTCATCTGAAAGCAGCCTGACCGTCGTCTTCTCTATCAGCAGCAGGTGCGGGCAAGGCCCCCAACACCTACCCATGTTCATGACGAGGGGTCTGCTCCAAACTTCTGAGGAGGGGGCTATGGTGGGAGGATGTGTGGGAAGGCAGGCAGGGGGGCTCTGGACCACGGAGGCTGGCGAGGAGAGGCGGAACCCGAGGCAGAGCTCTCGAGCCTGTGGGTCTCTCCTTGGCTGTGGGCTCCTGCTGCGTCCTGGTGAGTGGCTGCCCACTTCTCAGGCCTCAGGATGTGGGCTGCACCAGGAGGGTCTGGACACTCACACAGGATAAGCCCATGGCAGGAAGGAGCACGCCTCTCAGGGGTCTCTGGGGGGCAGGCTCTGGTTGTCGGGAACAGCGAAGCACGGGGTGGCTAAGTGCTCGCAGACGTTCGTGGACCATGTCAGGGCCACCAGCCTTCCTCTTCCTCGTGAAGCGTCCCCGTTGGGGGCAGGGCCTCCTCCCACCTGCTTCTTGCTGGAGAGGGGGTCCACCCACTGCCTCCCAAGAGACCAGGGACACACGGCTGCTGTCGGGCTGCTGTTTGTCCGAGGTGAGTGCCTCTGTGGGCCAGTTTGGTGGCCGGCCCCCCAACGGTCGCAGGGCCAGAGCCGGGCCCTCAGGCACTCCGCCCCCAGCCCTTGCCCTGCTGTGGGTCACGTGCAGCAGCTGACGGCACACGGGGGTGACGGCACACGCCCCAGGCAGGGGCGGCAGAAGACGCAGGCGGGGAGCCCGGGAGACGCTGGCGGCCGTCGGCGGGAGAAGACGCAGGCGGGGAGCCCGGGAGACGCTGGCGGCCGTCGGCGGGAGAGGCGGCTGAGCCGGTGACCGCAGTGACAGCGTACGTATACACAAGATTATTAACTCTGAAGGGGAGATGGAGGGAAGCTGTGCTCGCCGCGGCCGCCCGGCTCCAGCCCGGACACCAGGCGCGGCGTGTCTGCGGCCTCAGCCACAGAAGACGTTCCTGGGTGAAGGCCAGCAGCGACCTTCCGCCGTGCGGCGTTTGTCCGCTGACGGACCGGTGCAGCTGGCGGGCACTGGGTTCTCGAGAGTGAACGCTTGCAAGACAAATACACAGAAAGAGACGCATTTTAAAGGTGAAGCCGGCGGGCAGCCATGGCTTGCGGAAGACGCACCGTGGCAAATAGGCACGGGGTCCCAAGGGCAGCTGTGGGACTCACTGCAGCCCCGCAGGGAGAGGGGACAGAGGCCAGATGAAACCGTGGAGGCAGAGCAGGAGGCCCGTCCAGGTGGGGGGCCCGCATGTACAGCACCCTGACCCCTGCCGGAGAGAGCTGTGCATGGCAGGGGTGACGGGGTGCCCTGGGATGCCACATCACCAACCAGCCACAGCCAGAGCAACTCCATGATGGGGACCCGGCTGAGACATGCCAGTTTCACCACACAGGGACCAACTGTGGCAGCCCAGACTGTGCTCTATGGGGCCCACAAGTGAGCCACCCTCCTGAGCAGTCAGGCCTCTCCCAGACTCCAGCCCCCCCACCCCGCTGCCACGGCCCTGAGAGCCCCAGGCATGTGCTCCTCCCCCTCCTGCTCTGGGGCTGTGGGAGCCAACGTGGATTCTCCCTCCTGTCTGGGAAGCACCGCTTGGCCCAACCACCCCTCTGCTCCTGTCCTCCGCAACAGCTCCCGTTGGCAGGGCCGATCCCCCAGAGCCCCCCGGCCACTCACTCCTGGTTCCTGGTCCTGAGTTCCAGGTCCTGGTCCTGGCTAGAAAAGCACCACGGGCTCCCGGGCTGCAGAGGCCTGGGGGGAACCTCGCTCCACACTGCCTCTGGGCCAGGTGGCTCCAGGGGACACCGCGCCTGGCCCAGAATGAGGACCCCTGCCTGCCGGCCGGCCGAAAGCAATGCATGAGAGAACCCGAGGTCAAGGTGCCTCCAGCAGGCCGGCCCGGGGGGTCTCAGGGCAGGCGTCCTGGGCATCGCTGTGCTTCCCACTCCCTGTCAGCACCCGGCATGCTCCTGCTCAGGCGTCCCTGTACCTGAGAAATGTGGACATCACGCCTGTCCCTCAGGCCTTGGTGGCATTGCCAAGCTCTGGGTCCCTCATGTGAGGAGTAAAGGCGTCACCTGAGCCCAGACGGAACCCACGTGAAGGCCCCGCACCTGAGGTCACCTGCTCAACAGACGAGGAACCGATGGTGGTGGGTGAGAGACCCCGAGGATATGACACAGGCCATCCTGGTCGCGTCAGGGACACCCATGGTGCTGGAAGGGTGGGGTGGGGCGCATGGATGGCAGGTGGGTCTGGATGGGGGCATAGGCACGGCCGGCGTGGAGCCTGCCCGCGCACCAGGGAGGGGAGCAAGGGCAGGCCTGGAGCCCTGTCACCAGCAGGGAGGAGTGGCCCCGGGAGCCTGGCGAGGGGCCACGGGCTGGCCCTCCACACGGGGCCCAGGTGAGGGGTCCCGGGAAGGCAGAACACCTTCCTCACGTCACTGTGAACGTTATCACAGGGTCACACCCAAAAGCACTCTGACCCACCTGTGTACTCAGCCGCCTTCTCAACCCCCCACTTAGGACACAGACACGGAGACCACAGATGGGACCAGTGCCGAATGGGAGAGCCGGGGCTGCGGGGAGAGACGCGGCTCACCTCTCCTCGCAGAGACCACTCCCACGGGGCGTCCAGCCCGGACATCGGCTTAGACCATCTCCTTTTCATCAGGATCCTAGCCCCCCAGCCCCCGAGGTCTTCTGTGATTGTTATTCACTTGCGATCAGCCGACTGTAGCTACGGGACCCACTGCGGAAGACAGGAAGACCCCCTTCTCCTGCTTCACCCTTGTTAACTCAGAGGAGCAGCGAGAGCCCGCGGTCGTTCCAGCGGCCGGCGCAGCCTTCACGTTCAGGGCTCTGGGAGTCGCCCACACCGGCCTCGTGAGGCTCCTGGAGCTGGCACACCCACCCCGGCTTCACTGAGTGGAGACAGGGCCCCGCCAGCACGGTACTTTTAACCAGATGGCGCCTACAACAACCTCCGTTTTAACAAGGGCTCTGTGAGGCTGTCATGACCCACCTCATGGCGTCCCCGGTGGACGGAGCCTGGGGGCAGCGGGGCAGAGCACTGGAGGTCGGGCCCAGCACCGTCCACACGACCACAGTGCCTGGAAACACTAGCAGCTCTGCTGTCCGGAAGGAGCCAACCCCGCATGATGGGGGTTCAAACCGGAAGCAGAGACCCTCACCCTCTGGGGCTGGGTGGTCACGGCCACACAATGCCCGCATGCTGCCCACCTGCGTCTCCCTTTCGTTTCCTTCCGCGTGGAGCACGTAGGGGCAGCCCTCCTTCTTCGGGTTTTCTGAGACTATGCGCACTTCAACGGCTGGCAGCGGGGTCCCCACGGAGCCTGCAGGAGAGAGAGGAGAGGGCTGCACAGAAAGCCGTAGACCCCAGAGCCAAGGGTACAGGGCTTGGCTCAGTGTACGCAGGTGGCCGCCCGGCTCCACGGCTGCCAGCGCTCACAGCCGCCCACAGCCCGTGAGGCCCGGCTCTGGACACTCCGCCAACGTGGGGAGGCTCCCGGCACCTAGGCTGGAGGCTGAGGCTGCTGCCGCTTCCCCACTAGTGGCCAGCTGGGCAGTAAGGGTCCAGGGGGCATGGAGGACACCCGTACAAGGAAGGCCCAAGAGGGACGGGGCTGGCAGGTGGAGAAGGCCGCCAGCATGCTGGTTCATTTATTAGGCACCCACGGTTTGCTCCCGAAGCACCTGGTGGAGTGGCCTGCCTTGCCCTGAGTCCCCACTACCCCCCTAACAAAGGACCAATGTGGGCAGAGGTCCCAACACCAAAGGCTCAGCCTCTGACAGGACCCATGTGAAGGACTTCAGGCGCTTTATCTTAACCCCTGGAATCAGTGAGCGTTTGTCCCGGGACTAATGCCCAGGGCACTGACTCTACCACCTGACACCTGCTCAGGATTCCAGGACCCGGACTCCTGGGCAGCTCAGTCCCACAGCCGCACGTGTTGGGATGGCACCGCACTGTCCCAGTGGCCTGTCTTCTGCATCTGAAGCTGGGGCTGGAACGAGAGGGCTCTCAGCTGTCCTATCCCCGGTGGCCTCGTACCTCCACTCTGGTCAGAAGCCACATCCTTGCCTGGTGGGGAGCACAGCTAGCAGATCCCTCCCAGCCCTCTGTCTTCTCGGTTTGCTTCCAAAGGATTTGCAAATCCAAATTAAATGTACGTGAGACACAGCGAATCATCACAAAGCCGCAAAGCCACATAACTCAGGGCTTTCTACACATTCACGACGCTGGGAACTGCCACTGCTATCTAGTTCCAGAACTTTCCGTCACCCAGAAGGAAACCCGAGCCCTCAGCAGCTCATCCCCTCCCACACCCCCCACTCCTGCCTGCGCGGACCTGCCTGGTCTGGACTTTCCCTACGGAGCCTGGGACCCGGCCCTCCCCAGGCCTCTGCTGGTGCCAGTGCTCACAGCCTCTGGCCACACAGGCACCGGGACATGTGAGACGCCGGCCGGGAAGCAAGGGAGTGTCATCTACAGTGTTCAAAGGAGACACGGGGGCCAGACGTGACGTCCTGTGAGCCCAGCCCTCCAGCCCCACTTCGGCCTCGCGTACACTGGCAGCGAAGACCAGACGCTGCTCCACACGCGGTCCAGACACGCGTTCGGTGACCTCAAGGTCGTTTCCTTTTCTAGGTTAAATGAACAGTTCCTTTCCTTGTGGATTCTTTTCAGCGACAAGCTTGACTCCTCCGTTGCATACGCTGCTGTCCCCCAGCCTCAGGCCCATGCAGAAGGGCTGACCGCAGCTCCGCGGCAGGCCAGGGCCACAACCTCGCCTGTGGGATGCCGAGCTGGGCCAGGGCCCGAGGTCCTCACACGGCTCCCAAGTGCTGGTGTGTTAGGGCCGGAGCTCAGCAGGTGACCTCAGTGTCAGCCCTCAGTGACCACAGTGTGTGGTGGTGACGCATGACGAAAACATGTTAAAGCCACAGAGCAGGTTTGGGAGGAGGCCGGTGTGGGATGGGGGCCAGCCAGGAGGGGCTCAGACAGTTCATGTGGACCCCACCCCGTGTCCCTGACAAGGCTGCCCCTTGTGGCTCCCATCATTGGGATGAGGAGCCGGAGCACCGAGGGCACATGGAGTGTGGCCGTCGGCTGACTGACCCCGTCATGAGGCCGGGCAGAGGCAGAGCCCCTCGGCCGCTGAGCAGGAAATCAGAAAGAACGAGCACCATCCGCTGCAACAGAGAACCTTCTGCAGGAGCCCAGCCTCGCTCAGAAATCAAGGCCGGCTCTTCCTCCCCTGTCCTGCCGAGCTCTGCAGGGGGAGGTGCGCGGGCCCTGCTGCCAGCCGGAGAAGGGCACCACCTGAACACTGCCTGCGTCCGAGCCAGTCACAGTGGCGTGTCCCCAGATGACCCCCAACTGGCTGGCTCAGCCACTGACCGGAGCGTCCCACGCCCCCTCTCCCGGAACCCCGCAGAGCTGAGCTGCCCACCACCACCTTCTGATGAAGGACGTGACTCAGGAGCAGCAGATGGAAGAGATGCCCAGGAAGGGGGGGGTCCCTCAGCTCCTGTGCCCCCAGGGCACCCCCCAGCACCTCATCTGTGCACCAGCATCCTTAGGGTTTCCATGGAGATCCCACAACTCATGAAGCCAGTGGCCACTGACTCAGCCCAAAGCCCCTCTCCCCAAAGGCTCTGCCCCTCCAATCGGCCTGTTGGTCCCAGGCTGTCTCCTTCGCACACACTCAGGTGCTGGGGAGGGGGCTTCTGTGAACAGCTAAGACCCCCTTGTGGCTCCCATCACCTAGGAAATTCCAAGGGTTCCAGGACCTCTGCACCAGCTATGGAGAGAGACCAAATGTCTATTTCTTACCAGAACAGGGTCCTCTCTGACCGTCCTCCTCAGCCAAAAGCACCAGCCTCCCCACTTACCATCCTCCTCCCGCCTTTCTGTCCACTGCCTTCTCCTTCGAATATTTTTTAAAAAGGAAGAAACCCTCTTCCCAGCTTCCTCCTGCTCCGCTCTGGCCCCTTCCCCATCTCAAGAGTGAACGCTGTCACAGCCATTACGACCCGCGAGGGAAGTGCTGACGGAACCCCAGCTGGTGACAGCACCACACACAACTGACACCTCCAGGCAGAGACAACCACCGCAGTCCCATAGGCCCGAGGTACCGCCGGGTGAGGGTCCCGGACAGGAGACGCTGCAGCCCGCGCGGGGCAGCCCTCACTCCGGGCCACGTCCACCCGCCCAAGTGGGCCAGATGGAGCAGGGCCGTCCGCAGCAGCCGTCTCCTGCCCCCATGGGGACGGCGCTCCCCTCCTGGTGTCCACCTGGGCGGCGCCCCCCCTCCTGTCCTGTCCTGCCCCTGTGAGGAAGGCGCCCCTCCTGGTGTCCACCTGGGCGGCAGTGTGGGCCACAGTCAGAGGTGCACCTCGTTCTTCTGAATCTCTCCGAACCGCTGTTGGCTCTCCCCAGATAAGCGTAACTGGCCTGCGGCCCTGTCCAGCATCTAGGGAGGGAGGCCGCTCTGCAGCTGGTCCAGAGAGGACGGGAAGGGGCAGCTCAGGTGCTGGAGCCCCTGGCAGCGCGCCACGGAGCCCGCCGCAGGAGCTGTTCGCGCCTCTGATCTCTACCTCCACTTACTGCTGATCAGGCCTGGCCGCACGAGGCCATGAATTATTCATGCCCCTTCGTGGTACCCGCCAGGGACGCAGAGAAGGATCAGTCAGAAGATCCGACCCAGAGCTTGGCACGCGGCCAACGACACTCTTCGTGCAGCACGTCCCTCTTTCAAGGCTGGCTTTGCCCTGTGTGCCCATCAGCCTTTGAGCACCTTTAACGGACCCGGTGTTCACTGCAGGGACCGTGAGAGCCACGCTCAGAGGCCATGCAGGCAGCCAGAAGGAGGGGCCGGGCTGGAGGGACCCTGAGCTGGAAGCAGGTGTGGGGCCCAGGGGTGGCTGGCCACGTCCCACCTGCATCGTGAGCCCAGCCCCGGCGTCGAGCAGGACAAGACCTGAGATGCCAAGGGAAGGCCTCAACCAGGTTTCTCCAGAAACGACACCACTTTGTTTTCTAAACCGAACAACCAGCATTGCACTTGACCGCTGGCGGCTGGCTTCAGACACGGTCACAGGCGTCTGATCCCGAGGCAAGAGGAGGGGCTGCACCCACGCCTGCGCGTACCTCACGGTGTCTTTGAGGCCGGGTCACAGCTGCAGCCACCACCTCAGACCCAAGGATTTCTGCCCGACAAACCTTGGGGATCGGAGCCTTTGTGTTTTACCTTCCTGGAAAAGGCCAGGTGAGTCGGAGACGCTCGTGGGACCTCTGTCCTGACCTCTGCTTTCCCTGCTTAGCTGGGGGTGCTCCCTCCAGCACCAGGGTGAGCCCCCGCTGGGCGTCCCTTGCACACTGCTTCCCATCCTGGCGCCTGGTCTTGTGTTTGCTCTTCTAATGAACCAGGGGGTTCCCCATACCTCTCTGCTCCCTCCTTTCCCCTGACACCATGCACTCCTGGCAAAGCAGGTGTCCCGGGGTGACAGTGTGGACGCCCGCTCTGCCCCAGGCCAGCTGTGCAGCCCCGGCTACTTGTATGGTTGCCTAAAGCCTGTGTCAACGGGGTAAGGTCACCCCTGCGTCAGGGGCTGCTCTGGACACAGTGTGGCAGCTTTTGGGGAGGCTGAGTCCTCACCCACCTTCTGACCAGCAACCCCACCCTGGGTGTTGACCCACGAGAAATAAAGGCACGTGTTTGCAGAGGACCTGCACACACAATGTCTACAATAGCTCTGCTGGTAACTGTCCCCAGACACAAGCCCGTGTCCTTTGGCGGGGGAGCAGGCTAAGAAACAGTGGCCTGTCCACACCACGGGATTCTACTCAGTGAGGGAAAGGAAGCCGCGTCCACACGGGTGAATCTTGGACACATCCCGCTAAAGGACCCAAAGGCCACGTCCTGTACGAGTCATTGTATGACATTCCAGAAGCAGCAAGACTACAACCAGAGAGAACAGACGCGTGCTGGCCTGGCCTGGGGTGGAGGAGGTGCTGAGCCGTCGCAGCCATCCTCATCTCAAGCCTGGGTCGGCTTTTCAAAACCTGTTTTCAGAACCTCATGGAAGCAGACATGGGCAGGGTGAGCGTGACTGTGTGTGCGAGATGCAGGGACGTAATCACGGAGTCAGAGCTATGCTGCTGTGACTTCTCCTGTGTTGTGGGCCCCCGGGGCTGAGGGGGATGCCGCGTGGGGACCAGGAGAGTGCCGAGAGCAGAGTGGAGCACATCCACACCTCGGGCTGCAGCTCTGTCGGCAGGGTCCCTGCTAGGGAGCCAGGACACGCAAGTCTGACTTAACGTCAGAGCATCTCAGGGAAGGCTGGACAGTGAGCCCAGGGCACGGAGCCCCGTCTGCTAGCGGATCATCCAGGCATGGGGGACCCCCTCCCCCACGGCCCCTATGCCCTGCATGGCTCCAGGTGCCTGCACGGGAGGCTCTGGCCAGTAGCCCACGAGGCCTGCATGGAAGCAGCACCTGCCCCGGGAGGCACTCTGCTGAGCACATGGTCCTGGTCATTCCCATTCTTCCCATTTGTCACCGGGGAAGGACACTGGTTTCAAGGACACCTTTTTGTCCTATCCCTGACCGGCCATGTGGGAAAAATGTGAGTGCCCACAAGGGACAGGCCACAGCCGCCCCAAGGAAGTTCCCTGGCCCGGCAAGGCAGCGTCCTCCCCGGCCCGGCCCAGCTGAGGGCAAGGACACAGCCAGGAGGCTGCTTGTACCTGGCACACGCGGGGCAGTCAAGGGGTTGGACAGGGCCATGCCGATCTCCGTCATGCCGTAGCGCTCCAGTAGAGTGTGGCCCGTGATGCCTTGCCACCTCTCCAGCACGGGCAGGGGCAGGGCGGCCGACCCTGAGACCATCAACCTATGAGCACAAGAGAGGCAGCCTCAGCTTCCTGAAGCCGGCCCTGGGCTGGACAGCGCCGCGCTCTCCACCCAACACCAGTGTCCCCGAGCTCACGACGAGAACACCCGCCCGCAGCTAAACCCGAACTCTGTTCTTTTCAGAGTTTGTGGGGGCGTCATCGAGCAAAACAGGTCTTCAAAAGGAACAGGTAACTACAGTAAAAAAACAATTTTAGGGTCTTTGGAGGCGTTCTTTGCACACGACGAATACGCGGTCTGTAAGCGGCCCTAGACCACAGCTGTGACAGTAAGAGTTCGGTCTGTGGGTAAACTGCTTCCAGGTCTGCGGAGCAGGAGCAGCCGCGGAGACAGCCCAGAGCCGAGCACCGAGGCAGCTGGTGGGCTCGCGACGTGACACTGGTCACTCGCACCACACCGAGTGCGGCCCGTTCACACCAGCCAGACCGCGTGCTCTATGTTCCGTGAGAGGCTGTGCTTGCCACGGAACGCGTGTCATGGGGCTCTGGTCCCAGTAGAAGTCACCAAGCCACCCACCTTCGTGTGCACGGTCTCAGGGCTCACACCCGAGGAAGAATCAGGCCGAAGGGCGCTGTGTCTGTGGGCTTGTAAGAGACAGCAGAACAAGCCCCAGGCCACGGAAGGGCCCGGAAGGTCCAGCACATGTCTGTCAATGGGGCTTCGAGGGGCAGGGTAGGGGTGGGGGCGCTCCATGGGGGACGGGGGCTAGAGGGCCAGAACGGGGGGCCTGAGCCCTCGTCCTTCCAACTGGACCACGAGACAGAGAGAGACGCAGAGAGAGACAGAACATGGACAGACATGCAGAAAACGCAGCTCGCTACAGCTTTAAAGGCTGGAATATACTGCTTCCTACCACCTGGGCCAGTTCGGCTGAACATATGTGATGTCAGCGGCCCTCTAAGGCCTCTGGGGCAGGAGAGGGGCCGCTTCCATTTACCTAATTCTCTGCTCACAAACTGCGCGGATGAAAGCCTGGACGTGAGGCAGGGTGAACCGTCTGTCATAATAGTCCACCAGCTTGGCGTAGATCGTGGGCACCGCCATGAACACGTTAATCCGCGGACTCTCACCACCTAAGAGCTTTTCCCAAACCTAGAAAGGAAGCAGGAGGGATACAGGGAGACGTGAGGAAACTCGCACAGGCTCAGATGTGGACAGACACGGCTGGCTCCCGCGCGGTTCCCCGAACAGAGACCGCCCCCCTCCCTCAGCTTTAAAGGCCCCGGACGCAGCTCCCACAATGAGGCATGTCACCTGAGTGACTCTGGTCGTTCCCGTGGGAGTCCCCTGTGCCGGACACTGGTGTCCGGCTGCGGGGTGACGTGTGACGGGGGACAGTCTGCAGGGAGAGAGTAGGGGCACGGCTCCAGCCTCAGGTCTGCTGTCAGGAGAGGTGACGCACCTCCCCCTCTCCCAGGTGGCACTGGTGAGCCTGTGGGTCAGCCCTGGGCCCGGCCCCAGCAGACATGCGGAGATGGTGGACGCATGACCATCCGGTGAGGTGAGAAAAAACCACGTGCCTTCTGTGTTTTGTTGGGTAGCAGATGCTCCCTGTGTCCATACAGAGATGCCCCGAGACCTCCCTGTTGGCAGGTGTCCCCCCAGTCCGAGAGACACTGGCGTGGCATCCCGCTCTGTCTTCAACACATCATTGCCGAGTGAGCCTCCGGTGACTAGACCTCGCTCCAAAGCATTCGAGGGGCCAATCCCATGCACCCTGACCCTTAAGAGGAAGGGTTGCGTGGAGGGCGGGCGTATCAGGGGAAATAATACCATTTTTTAAAAGACAACAATCAGCACTGTCGCACTGCAAAGTATGTAGGGAAACAGGAAAAAGTGGCCCATGATTATAGAGAAAAAGTCAACAGAGGCTGACCCTCAGAAGATCCAGATGTTGGAGTTAATCAGACTAGGAATTCAAGGTCATTACAACAAACAGGCCTTGGAATTTTGTAGAAAAGATGAACAAAATGAGGGAAAATCAAGGGTTTCATCAGCGAAGTGGAAATACAAAAGAGAACCATTACAAAACCAGAGACGCGTCATCTGAAGTCAGGAATTCACCGGACAGACTAGGACGCAGATGGGGCAGCACAGAAGAAAGGACAGAAACGGTGAGACACAGGCTCACGGAAAAGGTCCACGCAGAAGGAGGACAGGACAAGACAGAGCAAACACGTGGGCCACAGAGGAAGCACGACACGGCACAGCTGTGGGCCTGGCAGGGAGAGCCCACGTCTGTGGGCTCGTGGCCTCGACACAGACCGGACACTGCATGTCCCCACCCTGAGCTGCAGCGTCAACGTGCCCCCCAGATCCCCGTGGAGCCCTGGCACAGAAACTGACTGGCTGGCCTGGCGCTCACACGGGAGGGTAGGGACCCGAGAGAGCCAAGAGGAGTGTGAAAGGGGGAATAAGCGTGGAGGACTCACACCTCTCAACTCCTGACCTTGCTCCAGATAAGAGTGACCACAGCGGCGTGGTGCCGTTGGAAGGCCAGAGCCCCAGATCGACAGACCGACCGGAGCCCAGAATAAGCAACACTTGCACAGCCCGTTGTCTGTCTGTAAAGACTCTGTGTATCTATTTATCTTAGAGAGAGCGCGTGCATGAGCGAGTGACCATGGGGGAGGGGCAGAGGGAGAGGGAGAAGCAGATGCCCCGCTGAGCGCTGCGCCTCGGGTGACTCAGACTCACAACCCTGAGGTCACGACCCGAGCCAAAACCAAGAGTCAAGGGGCGCCTGGGTGGCTCAGTGGGTTAAAGCCTCTGCCTTCGGCTCAGGTCATGATCTCAGGGTCCTGGGATTGAGCCCCACATGGGGTTCTCTGCTCCGCAGGGAGCCTGCTTCCCTTCCTCTCTCTGCCTGCCTCTCTGTCTACTTGTGCTCTCCATCTGTCAAATAAATAAATAAAATCTTTAAAAAAAAAACCCAAAAACCAAAACACAAAAAAACCCGAGTCAGACACTCAGCCGACTGCGCCAGCCGGGTGCCCTGTGGCCGACTGGTTTTGGACAAGAGGGAGAGCCCTCACTTCAGCTGTGGAAAGACTGATCTTTCCAACAGACAGCACAAGGGAGACTGAGCAGCCACCTGCAGAGGGACGGATTCCAGACCTCCGCCAGACACAAAAATTCACCCAAAGTGAACCAGAGACTTAAATGCATGAGCTCAAACTAGACAACTTCTAGGAAAAAATCTCCATGATTTTGGATGAGCAAAGATTTCTCAGATATCACACCAAAAGCATGATCTATGAAATTAACTGATACAATGGATTTCACCTAAACTAAAATCACGTGTTTCAGAAGACACCATTAAGAAAATGAAGAGACAAACCAGACTGGGAGAAAACACCTGTATACATCCATCTGACAAAAGACTGACGTGTGGAACGCACACAGAAGGCTGACGATTCAATGAGATCAATAACTTGACACAAACATGGGCAAAGGTCTGAAGATCTCACCAAGGAAGATACAGAAATGCGACTGAGACCATGAAAAAAAACGCTCAGCATCACTGCTCATTAAGGAAACGCAAATCAAGGGGCGCCTGGGCGGCACAGTCAGTTAAGTGTCTTGGATTTGGCTCAGGTCACGATCTCAGCGTTCAGAGATCAGGCCCCATGTTGGGCTCTGCATTCGGTACAGACTCTGCTTCAGATTCCCTCTCCCTCTGCCCCTCCCTGCTCACATACTCTCTCTCAAATAAATAATCTTTAAAAAAGAAAAAGAAATGCAAATTGAAAGTACAGCAGATCTCACCTCCTGTCTGCTAGAACTGGAACAATTACTTAACACAAGAATAAGGGCTGGTCTGATGTGGAGAGACTAGGGTCCTTGCACACTGCTGGTGAGAATGTAAACAACAGCCCATGTGGAAAATCGTTTGGAAGTTTCTTAAAATACGAAACATAAACTTGCCCTATAATCTAACAATTCCATCACTGCATATCTCTGTAAGGTAAATGAAAACATGTCCACACAAGGGCCTGGGTGCAAATTTTCACAGCAGCATTATTCTTAACAGACCCAAACTGGAAGCAACCCACAGCCCACGAGACAGTTGCTGGGCAAACAGAGCGCACGTACCCACACAACAGGGTGCTCTTCAGGAACAAAAAGGCAACCACTGCCCCATATCCTACAACATGGGTGAAACTCTAAGATGTTCTGCAGAAAGAAGGAAGCCAGACATAAAACACTGCAAGCTGTAGGGCTCAGCACACGTGCATTGTCTAGGAAAGGGACTGTGCGGAGACACGGGCTGACGGCGATCACCAGGGGTGGCATGGGAGCAGGGAGTGAGACAATGGCGGACAAGTCTAGATTTATGAAGAATCACTGAACCATTTGCAACAGTGACTTCCAGGGTGTGTGAATCCCACCTGGACAGAGCTGCAAGAAAAACATGATCTGAACACCGGAGGGTAGCAAGCTGGGAGACGGGTGAGCCGAGCCAACAGGCGCACGGCTGAGAGGAGCACACGGGGCGCGCCACAGGAGAGGCCTGGCAATCAGTGCCGGCGCTACGGGCTCCTGATGCTTCAAGCGACAACAGCGACGACGCGTTGTGAAGATAAAGGAAGGAGGAACGGACAGAAGTCAAGCACACAGGAAGCACAGGTGCATTAGAGAAAAGCCTCTGACACGACAACGGCCAAGAGGAAAGAAGGGAAACGTAAACCACCCACTCGGAGCTACATGAGACATCGCCACAGACCCCAGAGGCACTCAACGCACAAGGAGAGAATTCTTACAGTGAATTTCACAATTGTGATGAGATGGACGATTTCCTTTAAAAAGCAAAACTTACCGAGACAGACGCAAGAAACAAAGTATAAACATTAGAAGTCTTGTATCTGTTAAAGGAATCGAGCCCTTAACTAAAAGCCTTCCGGGGGAGGTCTGGCCCGGATGGCTTCCACGGCGAGCTTGAGCAGACACTCAAGGGAGGAAGAGTTTCGGCCTCACACCAACCAGCCCAGGAAGAAGCCCTTCCCAAGGGAGCCCGTGCCGACATGGGAGCCCAGCGAGAAGGTCCCGAAAGAGCTGCAGACCGCGCTCCTCATGAACACACGTGCAGAAGCCTGAGCAAAATACCAGCAAAGGAAATCTAGCAATACAGAAAACGACAGTACATCCCAACCCTAGGACGTCTGCCGCAGGGCTGCCAGGTGAGGAAGCTGGAAACACGGAAGGAGTGTGTGAGCAGAGCACAGTGACAGGAGGAAACACACAACAAACGAAGGGACAAGATGCCACGTGATCACCACAGCAGACACGGCCATCTAGTACTCTATCCTCGAAGGTAAAAGCTCTCGGCAGACAAGGAGGCGCCAGGCACGTCCTCCAGCTAACAGGCGGCATCTACAAAACCAACAGCTAGCATCACACTTAACCGTGAAATGTTAATGCCTTCCCCAAGGCTCCGGGTAAGTCAATGACGGCCGCACCGTTATTGCTTCCAAATCAGTACTTCGAAAGTGAAAGTTCTCTGTATCACAGACACTGTTAAAAGACACTGGTTTGCGAAACAAGAACCAGACTGGAGATCCACAGCACGCCATTCTGACAAAGGCCTTCCATCCGGAACGTGAAGAACGCTACAGGTCGGTAACAAAGAGACGGCCCGATCTGAGAAGACCTCCGAATGACCAACAAGCACACAGAAAGGTGCTCATGAGAAACGCAGATTTTGTAACAAAAGTGAGGGCACCGCACACCCGGGAGGACGGCTGAAATGTAACAAGTCTGAGCAGCTGAGCGCTGGCAGGCTGGAGCCCTTGGCCCTGCCCCTGCGGACAGAAGCACAGAGCAGAAACGAGAGTTGACCGTTTCTCAAGTTAACCGCACATGACTCCACGACCCGGTAATCCTACCCCTGGTGTCTACCCCAGAGAAATGAATATATACATCTCCAAAGAGACTTCCACAGAATGCTCCTGGCAGCTTTCCTCCGAAAGCCGAAACGGAAACCATCCCAAATGTCCAGCAACAGTAGCAATGCCCGGCTGCAGGACCCTTGGTCATGAGAAGGAATCAGCTGTTGCCACGTGAATGTGGACAAACCTCAAAGGTATTATGGGGACGCACGAGACGCAGAAGCACAGTCGCTGTGGGTCCATCCCACACAAGCTTCAGAAACAGATCAGCTGCCTTAGAGTAAGAGCATGCAACGAGGTGGCGGTCTTCGGTGGGGTGGCTGGAAGGAGGCACAACAGACCTTCCGGGGGGCCGGGAACATTTCATATCCAAGCTGGTGTGCCCCACACACTCACCGCGACACGGTGAACCACACTGAGATCCGTGAGTCACACTGCATGCGCACCACACCTCAACAAAAGGAAGCGAAAACACACCCGCGGACCTGACGGACAATGCCAAGTGTGGATGAGAATACGGAGCAACAGGGAGCAAGCCCCACCCTCGCCGTCTTGGAGAAGTCTGCCGGTCCGGCCCAGCTAGTGTCCGGCACGGGCAGGCACAGACCCAGGAGAAGCACCCACAGAGAGATCCTGATGAGAATGTCCACAGCAGCTTTATGCATAATGTCCCCAAACTGGAAACAACCCAAAGTCCTCCGTGGCAGCAGGGATAAATGATGGAACACAACACAGCAACACAAAAGACCAAGTGACAAGCAACGTAGCACAGGATGAATCCCAGTGCAGCGCCATGAGCTGCAGGGCACAAGGGAGCACGTGTTGTCGTGTTCATTCACACAAGGAGTACACGGAACGTACCCATGGCAACAGAGCCGGGCCAGCGTCAGCTCTGGTGGGTGCAGGGGAGGGATGCTGAGACAGGAGAGGACCTTCCGGGGCCAGGAGAACGTCCTCTGTCTTCACCTGGGTGCAGACAGCAGCACAGGGGGCACAGGCGTAAAGGCAGATGCGGCACTGCCTGATGCACATACGCCTGAACGTGCGCAGATCATCGTCCGCGGAAGCGAGCGTCCCCGCCGTTCAGACCCTGAGCCCGAGCTCTCGCAGTGAGCGTCAGTGAGTGCGGACGGCAGGTGCCCTGCGGGACTGCTAGGCAGGTGGGCCACCGCCAGCAGGAAGTCTCCCCCTCACCACCACAAAATGGGAACCTGAATCCCATCTCTCAAGCCAGCCACCAAATCTCAGGGGATATAAGGGACAGGGAACATGTTAAATGACAACATCGGGACGCAATCTGCAAAAGGACACGCAGCGCGACCTCTTAAACAAAACACGCCAGGAAGATGCAGAGGGAAGCCTGTGGGTGAAGCCACACCCAGCAGGAGCCGGGCATCACCGGGATCCCAGCCCGACACACTGGAGGCCACGGGCAGCCCTGGCACTGAGGACCCTGCTGGCGACACCTGACGTTGGGGTTCCGGCTCGTCGCTCCATGATGACGGCGCCGTCACAACTCTAAGAAAGAGCATCCTTGGCTTCAGGGATGCAGAAATCTTCTGACACCTGCGGTTCCTTTCGACTGACCCAACACAGGAGATGACGTTTCCAGCTGAAACAAGAGCGACCCTGAGCCTGGAGCCACGGAGGCCAGGTAAGGGTGCGCGGCAGTCATCGCTCTCGCAGGGCTCTGAGACACAAGCGACTTTAGAAAGTTTTAAGACTTGATGAAGGGGGTTAGATTAGGTGATCTCTCTAAAGGCCCCTAAAGCTGATACGGT